AGTAGCTCAGGATTGTCTCTGCTGAAGCCTCTGTTTTATGTTTTGCCCTTTCCTGTCTCTCCCTCATGGCAGGCTCATCTCCTGATGGCATTTATCAGGAGCCATTTATCACAGGTCTGTGAACCTGCTACTCAGCCTCATGGTTGTTGTTCCCATCGCCTGATGGATTCATGCTGACCCTTTTCCTTGGCAAACTGCCACAACACAGAAGAATTGGTTAATTGCATACTACTGTTCTTTATAGGAGAAGGGATTTGGATTTGATCTGTCTCCAACTAGTGCATTCAGTTTTGTTCAGATTTCCACAAAGCGCTTGGTGAATCCTTCTGCCTTTTCCCTGACCGCTGGATTTTTACTTGCATGGAAAATCGGCCACTTGAATACCAGCATGTTTTGAAAACCCTGTGGGGACTGCTGGGGTGGACTGTGCCTGGGCATCCTGTCTAGAGGACTGATGATGGTTTGGTTTTCCCTGGAGACTCAAAGTCTCTGTCCACGTGCATGAATGGGAGTAGCTTGTGGCTTTTGCATAGTGCTGGGGGAGGTCCTTGCGTTCCTTGTTTCTGCCAAGGTGTGAGCAGATCTGCTGGCTGTGCATCCCATCCTGGGGGTGCAGAACAGCTTGTGGCCTGCAAGGGGCAGCTGGTTGGGGTGCAGGCCCTGCCCCTCTGCTGCTGCCAGCAGCTGGAAACCCCTCTATAACCAGGTAGAGCTAAGGGCACCCGGCACGTGACGGCGTGGCCTTTTGTTCTTATTTCTTGAGCTGATTTGAAACTAAGCAGGGCTTAGTTTGGGACCTCCTTAGCGCTACTTTTAGTATCTCCCCTTTAAAATGGATCATCCCCCTGATTTATTTGTCCTCCTGAGCCATGGGCTTTTTTTGTATTGTTAATTTGCTTTGGTTCTCACACAAAATGGGAAGCACCTTTTGCACCAACCCCAGGCTGGAAAAGCAGGTGCTCTAAAGCACGCTGACCTGGCTGTGATCCTGGCCGTGTCCACCTCTCTCTGTGGGTTTGGCTGTGTGCTGACACCTCCTTGGGCACCAAGCTGTGCCATCTTCTGCTGATGAAGGACATGGCCCCTCTGGTGTGACTGAAGAGCAGATCTCTAGATGTTAGATGCGGGGGCTACCCGAGGCTTTCAGTTCCACCTGGGAATAAGAGTGATGGCTGGGCTGTGAAAATGGGCTGAGAAGGTCCCACCTTTCATGGAATCACAGAGTGGTTTGGGTTGGAAGAGACCTTCAAGGTCATCTCATTCCAGCCCCATGCCATAAGCCTCTAAGTGACATGGCTGGGGCATCCTGAGCACAGCTCATTTTTCAGGTGGCCCAAAATATCTGGCCAGAGCTGGTGGAGATGATTTTGGCTTTGTGGTCAGCTGTAACCACATGGGCCTGTTGGAGTCTGATCAGGTTTAGTGTGACTCTCCCTGTTCTTTGCAAAGGAGTCTTTAAAGGGATAAACAAGGGCTGGGTGAAAACTGCTAATGCTCAGCTTATTTTCAGTCCTTTATACATTTTTAATATTAGATTTTGATCTTGTTTTCTTCTAAGGTGCCAGCGTGAGATTCTTTATGAGCTGGTCTTACCACGCTCTGAGTCTCAAGAATCCAGTCATGTGGAAAGGATTCCTTCTTAGATGCAGCAGGCAGACTTTATCCTTTGATCCCATAACTTTCAGCTCCTGTCTCCAAGTGACTGAGTTTTGGTTTTGCTGAGCCAAAACCATTCCCTAGTACCCTTTTTAAAAAAGAGCTAGTGCTTAAAAATAGAGAGGATCACAATGAAATGATCTCTCAGGATGCTTGTGGTTGGAAGGGACCTTGAGAATATCTTATTCCATCCCTCTGCCATGGGCAGGGACACCTTCCACTAGATTGGGCTGCTCCAAGCCCTGTCCAACCTAGCCTTGATGATGATGATGATGAGCAGATACTACTGCAGGCAGAGAGGGCATGCTGCATTTCACAGAACCTCAGCTGGGTGATACACAAGTGGGTTTTCATCAGTAGAACTGATTCAGCGAGTCTCCTGTGCCCAAACTCCAAATCTGGGTGCTGAGTCATGAGCTACTCTTCTTCAGTAGCTCTTAGTAAAGCAAAAGATGCGGTTTCAACTGAGTTTTTCCAGGAGAAAACCTGATGATGACTGCATTTTGTTTCATTAATAATCAGATGAAACGATTTTGTTGTGAACTTGGGGCACAGTAAGCATTCTCTGTGGTCACAAAAATCAGCCTAAGTCCAAAGAAGCAGGAGAGCAGGTGCCACCAGGACCTGCAGCTCGGTGTGTGCGTGGTACAGGCGGGGTTTGAGTGCTGTGAAAAGGACACTGGTGTGAGGAGGTGCACACAGAGGGTCGTGGATGTCCTGGGGAGGGCTGTGCTGGCTGTACAAGAGAAGAAGGTCCCAAGCTCAGCACTCAGCTCCGTGCTCCCCAGCGGCGGGATCCCTGCCGTGCCCCTGTGTCACGTTGTGCTTCCCAGGCAGTGGTTCTCATGGGAAAGACTGGCTTCCCCCCGGTGAGTCGGAAATGTCCCAGGAGCCCAGAGCATTGAGGCTATGTGTCAATTGTTTCCTCCCAGGCGCTTTGGGAAGGGAGCCTGGAAGATTATCTCAGCGTTTGGAACAATATAAACAGATGCCAAGCACTTCAAGTACATGGAGAAGGAAAATGTCTTGCTTGGCCTCCCTGAGCAGTCAGGGAAGGGGGGCGGGGTGGGGGCACAGCAAGGAACATTAAATAAGTCTCTGCCTTCAGACCAGGGGAAAGCAGCAAAGTAATGCAGATGTTTGCCTGCCTATATACAAGAGAGTTTCATGTTACCAAAATCTGTGCTGTGCACACGTGGTCCAAAGATTAAAGAGATTGTCCAGTTCTGTTGGCAGCATATTAAAGTATTAAGACTGCAGGCTCAACTCACTACGATGTGTTTCTGTTATCAAGCTGATCACAGAATTCCAGTGATTCAAAGGGGAACGTTGTTTAACACAGATACCTTTTGCATCAGGCTTTTGGATGGAGTTTTGGGTGTGAGAATCCCTTGGGAAGGGCTAGCACTGCCCTGTGTGTCTGGGGTCACCCCCACCCTCCGGCTCCTGCTGGTGCTCAGATAAGATCTCCCCTTCCTCGTCCCTGTGCGGCGCTCAGGCCATCTGCCACGTTAAAGCTGATGTTCCCAGTTGCTGGAAGAGCTTTCTGGGTTTCCTTTGGCACGCAAGAGCTGAGCTGCATCTTCACGTGTCAGTCTGGGAGCTGTTGCTGCAGATGTCTCTGTGGCTCTGCCCTTTCCCTCTGTGATTCCATTCCTGGAGGTGGCCATTCTGACAGGAGGCAGCAGACGCAGGACCCTGTTCTGTCACTGTTCCACTGCCTGACTTTGAACCCTGCTCAGCTCCAGAATCCTCTTTATTCCATCTCTGGAAGTGTCCAAGGCCATGCTGGATGGGGCTTGGGGCAGACAGGTGTAGTGGAAGGCGTCCCTGCCCATGGCAGGGGCTGGAACAAGATGAGCAAATGTGCAAAATAAAGGTTGAAACATGCCAAATAAAGGCCTCACAGCTGGCCTCAGGAGTGTGTGGAATTTGAAGCGGCAAATCAGTTAGTTACAGAAAATGGAGTATTTTGTGCCTGAATTTTCAGTTGTTTGGTTGCCAAGACTTAAACTTAGGGGTTTATCACAAGGAGGAATTAGAGACACATGTTTAGTTTGTGGGTCATTCATTCAGATGATTTTTTTTGCTCAGTCTGTTCATCTGAAACTCTCCGTTTGGCTACTCTGGGATGGAAAGGGGAAGCCCAACTTGGTCCAAAGTACAGAATCCAGCTCTCATTTCTCAGGAGTTACTTTTGTAAGAGCTGCTTTTATAGCTTACAGTGAGATGTCTGAATGATCTGGGCAGAGAAGACAGTGTCTAAGTGCTTTCTGTAAGCACAGGATATTCACTCATTCCCGAGCTGGCAGAAGCACAGAAAGCCCTGAAAAGAAAACATTTTTATCAGATACAAATAGGCACAACCATTAGCAAGTGTGGTTGAAGTGCTTTAGTTTGAAATCCCAGTCTCAGTGCAAGGGCATCCTTGGGATTTACAGCCAATTTATGAGATTGGGCACTTCTTCTGTTACTTGTGAATTTTTATTTTAGAAAGTGTCAAGTGGAAGTTGATAGGAGCTTGTGTGAGTAGTCCTTCCTCCTCTGCTGTGTTATAACAACACCCTGATGGTACTTAGAGCATGGGACCTCTATAGTGGCACCTGTGTGAGGCACCTAATGGCACTTTGACACTCGTTATGCAGTGGACTGCACAGTCAAGTGATGTAGATTTTGTTGGTCTAAGCTCTTCAATTAAACTGAATCACTTGGCACAAGGTAGCTGTTAAGTTCAGCCAGTGTATTTGGTAAAACAAATGGAAAAATTAGTGTAGAATGTGTTTGAAAAGCACTCTGTCCGATATTACAAAATGAGTATGATGGCCTTCTGTGGGGTTTATTTTTGTATTTAAATGAGTCACAAGGACAACAGTTATCCGAGTCTGCACTGGCACGTGCTCTCAGAAATGATGGGATAAAAATACTTCTCCAAATGGTAGCTACAGAGCTCCAAGCTCACATCTGGAGACAAGAAAAACTGAACTACGGAACATTTGGCCAGCTAAGAGGGATCGTTCCCTTGCCTTCTGGAGTGAAACAGGGAGAGGACAAAGAGTAATGAGTTCAAACTGAAAGAGGGGAAGTTTAGGTTAGACATATGGAAGAAATCATTCCTGTGAGAATGCTGAGGCCCTGGCACAGATTGCCCAGAGCAGCTGTGCCTGCCCCATCCCTGGAAGTGTCCAAGGCCAGGTTGGACGGGGCTTGGGGCAGCGTGGGCTAGTGGAAGGTGTCCCTGCCCGTGGCAGGGTTTTGGAATGAGATGATCTTTAAGTCCCTTCCAACCCAAACCATTTGGAACTGCACAGTGCTGAAGTTAACGTTGGTGTGCTTGTGTTCCCCAGGTCACCACACCATTTACATCGGGGTCCACGTGCCGAAGAGCTACAGGCGGAGGAGGCGGCACAGAAGAAGAGCTGGGCACAAAGAAAAGAAAGAAAAGGAGAAAATCTCGGAGAACTACTCGGACAAATCAGACGTAGAAAACGCTGATGAGACAAGCAGCAGCATCCTTAAACCACTCAGTGAGTACTGGTTCCACTTGTCAGTCCTTACAATGTTCTGTTGTCTAGGATCTGCTCGTGGAGGAGGAAACTTGACCCACGAAAGCAATGGTCTCACGTTGCAGGGTTGGAGTGGTCTGAGCCAGCTGCTGTGGCTTGGAAAAGGCACAGGCCAGAGCAGACATTTCATCCTCTGTATCACCTGAGTTGGCCCTCGAGGGATGCCAGGCAGGAAAAGGCTGAATGTTTGAAGAGCAATTTGACACTGAGTGTAAAGAGATAGCAAGCAAGGGCAAAGACTGAGTAGTGCCTGGGTAGATCTATTGCAGCTTCTGCCCTGGCTCTGGGACGTGCACACGCTCTGGAATTCCAGCACCCCGTGGTTTCAGCCTCATGTGTCACTAACTTGCAATGCTAACAGCTTCTTTCCCTTGGGTAATTAACCAGTTTTAGGTTTTGAAAACAAAAACAAGACTCAAATGGAGCTTTGCTGTATGTTTGAGTATTTTTAGGGATTGAATATCTAAATACTGACAGGCAGGTGAGGTCTGTTTTGGATGCCCTGTGCCTCTATTCCCACTAGAATTGTTAAGCAGAGGACAGAGACCTTTAGCTGGTGCTGTCACTGTGCAGAGACTGTCACAGGGTTGCCTTCCCTTTGCTGTATTCTGTGTTGGCCACAAGCTTGTCCTGAAATCTGGGCACAGATCAATGGCTGCTTTGGTAGGAGCAGGGGGAAGATGAGTAGGCTGATGGGGTTCAGTATGGATGGGGTTGAGTATGGCAGAGCAGCCCAGGATGTGATGCAGCTCAGATGATGCAGGATAATTCCAGATGGCTGGAGCTTCATTTGTAAGTGGAAAAATGCTTCCTGTGTGAGAGATCCATACTACTGCATCTTGATTGAAGAAATACATTCATTTCTCATTTTGAAGTCATGTTGCTGGGTAGTTGCTGTAGATAGAGACAGTAACATGGGACAGGCAGAGCAGTCATGTCTTTATCCTGGTTACCATCTTCAGAGAACAGCACCTGGAAAGGAAGGCAAGTCACAGATTCCATTTGCTCTTCCCAGCTCTTGTTCCCTGGTTGTCCCAAAGAAGGTTTTTTGTCAGCGCTCAGAAACCAGGAGTTGGTTTTATACCAAAAGATATAATTATTTCAAGAAATCAAATGTTCTAAACTTAATTTTTATGTTTATACCTTTGTTCTTTAGCATGCAGGTGACCAGGCCTGTAGAAATTCCTTTTTTGCTTCTGAATCTATCATATCCTAGGGGAATTGCTTCCATGAGCTAAGTGTGCCTGTGTTTGAAAACCCATTTCTTCCACCAAGTTTTCATGTCCTGCCTTTCATTTTGCCCATCATTGTGTCTGTGTCACTTGAGGAGGGGTTTGTGGTGGTTTTTCTCCTCTGTTGTTTCTATGCAGTAATATGTTCTTACCTGCACTTAACCTGCAAGTCAGAATATGCAGTCTTCCCATCACTTTCCATCTGCAGTTTTCCCATAGGCTTTTCCACCCTGACCTCTTTGCACTGCAGGTTTTTGGAGCGGAATCGCATAAATATTCCAGGTGTCCCGTGCAGTAGCATTCATACCCCATCCCTGGGCCCTTTCTCTGTTGTTCACCATCTCAGGTATCCAGATACTTTTCCAGGTCCTTGCAGGGACCTGCTGTTTCGTGCTGGTGGCCAGATCTTTTTACGAGCTGGCTCATGTAGCTTGGAGCTCTGTAAAGGAGAGGGCAAGTTCAGATTACTGTCTTGAATTACAAGTTACCTCATATCCCTGGGTTTTTTCCTCTTCTGAAACTTTTGTCTTCAGAGCTGACCTGAACTTTGTGTTTCTTTTGCTTTCTGAAAGGCCTTTCTTTTCTCTCCACCAGCTGTGTCACACAAGTGTGTCTGACAGAAGCCCATTTCTCTCTGCAGGCAGCATGTACCAGCTTAGTATAGTGCTGGCAATCCTGGCAAGAAACCTCAGTTAGAACCCTGGGGTTTTAATCTTCATCCCATAGTAGGCCTTGATCAAGGGTGGGAAACTAAGTGCTGGGAAATATTGCACAGCAATTTTAATGGAGTTGGGAGAAAGCTGAAATGAGCTGTGCTACATACATTTAAGGCTGTCAGTAGAGAGTGTGGAATATCAGAAGCTGAAATATGTGTGAGGGCTGTGTGGTTTAAAACAAGGAAAATCTGGTCTGACACCAAAACACTGTGAGTTTTGGTCCAATGTATCTCAGTTTAAGAAATCTTTAATTTATACAAAGAGTTCCTTCTCTTTGTTGATTTTGCAGTTATCACCTTGGCCAGTATTAGACACTGTCAGTTCAGCCTGGGTGTATAACTGGTGATTTAGTTTATCTTCTAATACAAAGACAAATATATAGAGCTTGATTTATGAAATCTTTAATAATGTAGTTGTTAAAATAATTTTAGAAGTTCAGGAGACAACTTGATTGTCCTGTATATCGAGACCTTTGTTTTTTCTGAGTAGAGAGCTTAAGCCAGTTGTGATGTGGTGCATCACTTGGAATTCTTGATCTGTCCCTAAGGACCACAAGCCTAAGCTTCAATATCTCACCTGAAAATGATTTCTCAGCTTCTTGGATGAAAACTCTGCAATTAGACTTTGACCAAGTCTGGGTTTGACTCACTGGGTCAAGCTGCTCACAGCAACTGAACCTGATGGAACATGTCCCTTGATTCCAGCAATAGAATAAACAGGTCCAGAAATGCAAGTCTTCCCTAGAAAAGTTTTGTTCCACTTCCAAACCGGTCTAGCTGTGCCTCTGTGTCTGGGAATTGGTGCAGTTTGGAAGTGTCAGTCCTTATATTTGTTTCAGCCTGTGTCCAGCTGAGCCAAACAAGACAAACTCTGGTACTTACAGACAACCTTCAGCTCTCCCATCTGGAGAGAGCTGGGCAGGTGGAACTTGTACAGATAGGTTTTGTCCTGGGGAAATGCCGGCTTGGGAACCATGCCTCCTTCACAGATCCAGACAGGGATACTTTGACAGACTGAGGAGGAGGCTGGAAGGCAGAGTTCCCTCTGCAGAGCCCTTTCAGGACATTCCAGGCCTGCGGGGCTGTCTCTGCTCTCAGGGAGCTTTGGCATTCACACCCTGGTTCTCAGGCAGGACTGCAGACGATGACAAATCCCTCTTCCAGGTGAAACATCCCAGCACCTCTCACCTAAAAGCACCTCCTTTAGCCAGCCTGGTCTTGGTTTCCATTTAGGGCCAGTCAGGAGGAAACACTTTTTAGGCTCTGCCTCATCGGGTCAGCTGGTGCTTGTGTCAGCACAAAGAGGATGGTGTGGTTTGCTGCTGCTTGCAAGGGATGAGACAAGGGAGGAACAAGGAAGGCAGATGAAGGTTCTCTGAGTCCATTTCCCTCTTCCTTGTTCTGTACTACTAGTGTGCAGAGATTTTCCCATGAGGAAATGCATCTCCACTTGATCTGGGGAGGGGTTTTTTCTCATTGTCTGGTTGCCCTCCAAGTCACTTTGGCTCACCTCCCTGGCCCAAACCCAGGTGCTGCAATACTTTAGTGACTTTTTAAAACCCCTTGTGGGTGTAACAAATTCTTACTGTCAAGGATAGAATTTCTTAGTGCTTGCAGCCCTGAAGAGAGTAAAACCTGATTTTTGTGAGGTGTCAGAATGTTGCCACGTTGATATATATAACTGCAGGATCTGAATTTTGGAATACCTAAAAGCAGGGATAAGAGGACCCGTATAAAGAGAGAGGGGAAGGATGATATATCAGAGCTTTATAAAGGTTTCCAGTTGGCTCAGAGAATTCCTCTTGCAGCCAACAGCAATAGTTCTTAAGGGTTTTAGTAAAAATCCTCTCTTGAGCCCTCAGATGTGGCTTTGGAGGAAACTTCTCCTGTTTGTAGGGTGTGATTTCATTAAGGTGCAGTTTGAGGCTTGTGCTGCCATTCCACATGGAGTGCACCTCTCACAGTGAAGGTGAGGTTTTGGCTGGATGGATCAGATTCCCACTGGAAGCAGGTAAACTTCTGTTCCTGCTTCCCAGCTTGGAGTGCCTGCTTTGCAGGAAGAGTTGATTGTGGACAATGTCCCATTTGATAGGTTGCCCAAAGAAGTGGTGGAACCTCATCCCTGGAAGTGTTCAAGGCTGGATTGGACAGGGCTTGGAGCAACTTGGGGTAGTAGAAGGTGTCCCTGCCCATGGCAGGGGGTTGGAATGAGGTTGATTTCCAGTGAGGAGTGCCAGTCTGACTGGAGGGGTCCATTCATAAAAAGATCAAATTAATTCAACAAAGATATTTAGACATCTCTTTAGGAATGCTCAAGCTGGGTGTCTACCTTGGAATGTTCATTAAGGCAGGTGCTGTAAATAGCAGGAGAGAGCTACAGGATGGAAATAAATGAACCTACTTAGAGCAGATGCAGCACAGTCAGGGCTGTACCAAGAGTTCTCTTTCTGTTCGTGTTACTGGATTTTTCAGCTATCCAATTTCTTTCCTGACTTTTCAAGACATGAGGTGGGATTTTCCAAAAGCTTTTAGCCTCAGCTCACCTCACTGAGAGCAGTGAAAAATCAAGCAGGATGGCCAAAGCTTAATTGTTTTTGTATTGGCATTTTACATAGGAAAAGTGGAGACTTTGCTGTAAGTAGAAGGGAATTTTGCTGTTTGGGTCTTTGGGAACTGCACGGCGGCTCTGGACTGGTCCCAGGTGCTGGGGTCGGTTGAAACAGGCCTTGTTCTGCCCGTCCAGTGCTGCAGGGATTGTGCTCAGGTCCACTGCAGTGCAAGTGCAGAGGGCAATTAAACACAGCACTAATTGCTGCCGGGCTGGGGCCCGTCGGAGCGGCTGGCAGCGCGCAGCTGCTGTGGCCATGGGAAAGGCCATGGGAAGGTGCTCGGGGCAGGCAGGCTGTGGGCAGGGCAGCTCAGGAGGTGCTGACACAGCTCCCAGAACGCGGCACAGACGCCTCATGCTGGGATTGGTGGCATTGCTGTCTGGCTGCATGCCCACCCTGAGAGCC